ACCGGGATTTAAACAAACATAAAAAAAATTACAGAAAATAAAAAAAAAAAAAAGAAAAACAAAAAAAAAAAAAAATAACAGAAAATTTTTAAAAAACAGCCGGTAATTACTGGAGGTTTCCAAAACCGCCGGTACTTGCAGGGTTTTTGCGAAAGAGCCAGTAATTATTAGGGGTTTTCCAAAATCACCGAAAAATTATTTAAAAAAAAAAACAAATTACTTATTTACATTTAACATTCAATCAATTTACAATCAATTTTCATGTATTATGATCTCATCCAATCAATATATTGAGTTAATGAAGAGATTCAATTGAACAAAAAAAATCAAATTCATTTCACACATTAAATTGTGTAATAATATTTAATACATTATTTGTACATAAAATTATATATTCAATCCAAATATTACATTATCCTACATATATTACTAAATTGAAGTCAAGTTAATACAATTTATTAACACTTAAAATAAAAGAAACCTATTTAGTTCTAATGTGTTCCATGTCTGAACCTTCCATTCAGGATGAATCATTAAAAACCTACAAATAAAATAATAAGTTAAAACAATATTGTAATGAATAATTAAATAAGTATTTAATAATTTTTTAATTCGCATTATAAAAGATGTAATGCTTAACTTTTGGTTGAACTTTTAATTCAGCTTTACAAACTTGTTAAATTCACTAACTAATAAAGTGATTATGGTTATATTATGAAAGAACAATAGCACAACTAAATTAATTAAATTGAATGTTTTGGTTATAGTATAAAATTAATAATTGTATCTTTGTTATAATAATATTATAACAGGAAGAATTCAGGGTTTCGGAAACTTTATATAATATTATTATCATTTACACTGCAGATGGATGACTAGAATATGGAGAATATATAGCATGTAATTTCTTATCTAGAAGTAACTTGATAAAATATCAGGAAAGAAATAACTCTAAATAAACCAAATTCCAGGGCCATATCAATTTAAGTAGATTTTATCTTCATGTATACTAGAATATCACTACGCCAGAAGGAAAATAGAGTAAGACAAGATCACATACCGAATCTTTTGAGGTTTGAATGGCATTCAGCAAGTGGAGAGCTTCAAATTTCAAGGAATTGTGCAAGACAGCAAATTGCATTGCTATTGCTACCACCTGTAGAGGAACGTGACAAAAATATTGTTTCACCAAAGACATTATATATGTTTATTTACCATGATGCAAGATTAGTTAATAAAAATGAAAACAAATTAAGTACCAAACAGAAATATTATAGAAGCACACTTACAATAACTGAAATGTCAAATAAGTCATTATTTTGGAATATTTCAAAGGACATCCTACCGAGAATCAATTGCAGAAGTTTGAAAGATAATTCCATCAAATGTGAACCTGCAAATTAGGAGCATATGTTTATAAAAAATGTGTTATATACAAACTAAAAATGTGGTTTTTGTTGAAGTGCAAACAAAGTCTCACATTGAGTGAAATAAGGCCTTTTGGAGTGGTACCAAAAGCAAACCCGTGAGGGCTTGGCCTAAAGCGGACAATATCTTATCATGTGTAATCAAGTTAAAAATAGCGGAATTACCAAAACTTTTAATTTCGATAAGGATTCCAAGTGATCTGAAATTCAACTTAATTGAATTTTTCTTAATCCAAGTGAAATTAGCAATTACGTATATAATTCATAAGCATTTATGCCATGAGTGTCAATGGATACATTTTTCAAATTAAAAGCATTCGGTACGCTGAAAACTTTAATTCACATTTGCATTTCAATCACCGAACATAACTTTCAATTCACGGCACAACAGAAATTCATGAATCCTTACATGCTATGCAGATTACAATCCACATGGTGCAGCGAAAACCAATTAACTTCCAGAAACAAAAACAATCCTAAATTTCATAATTTTAAATTAAAGTTTCTATAATTTAGAAAAAAATAACTTTTGGAGAGAATCATAGATTCCTGACATTTATCTGATACCAATGTAAACTATTATACAGTTTAATTTTCTAATCAAGAAACTACTCTTTTACAGATAAACATTTAGGATTTATAATTTTCACAACTATATTATTAAAAAGGATTAAGAATTTACTTGGATTTATTACAAAGTTTTTTTATCAAATTTTTCTTTCTCTTCCTTTTCTTTAATGGTTTAATGAAAAGATTTCTTCATTCAAAATAATTTTCTTTTTGTTTTTTTAAGAATGTAATTACAAATTTTTTTAAATTACTGACGAATTTTGAATTCTTTTACCAATGGAATCATTATGACAAAAATCATCAATCAATTCATCAGTAATATATATTTCATTTATTGACGAAAAATCCGTCGATAAATCTGCTGATAAAACGAGCGAAAATTTTCATATCCATTTTTCCTCTCTGTCCGTGAGATAAAAAGGTTATTTATTTTCTCTCACTCGAATGTTTTGCTCATATTTACACGATGAAACCTCATTTTTCTCCTACTTCCCCATCTTACCACCGTAATTACAAGCCCAAGCTGCCTCCATCTCCGTTAAGTTAGGCCATTATCTCCATCTCCACTGCCTCCGTCTCTGTCTACACATTCGAGGTCTTCCACTCCAACTTTTTCTTCTTTAGCACGTGCATGAAAAGTGTAGTGCCTCTATTCCTCTTCTTTCACAAAATTATACAACCAAACATTGTCTCCACCGCACAACGTCGTCGTTGTTCACTCGAAGTCTGAACAAAGTCAATGTTTGTCACTACCATCGCACACCCTGCATTGTTTGGCGTTATTTATTTTTTAAAATGTGTTCTTTAGCTAGATAGATAAAAATAAAAGAAAGAGGAATAAGAGTGGATTTGAAGACGATATTTCTCGTCGGTAATTACCAACAGAATTTTTCGTTGATCAAAAAATTCGTCGATAAAATTTATCGACAACCACGAATCTTTGACTGTCGATAATTTTAGTTTATCGATGATATTATATATTACCATCAGATTTTGACCATCGCTAATATTAATTTTTACCGTAGTGACATTCACATTTTTATCAAAATGTTTTTCACTTATGATATTTTACAAACTTTAATAAAATACTAAAATATCTTTTTTTAAAAAGAGAAAGAAAATAAAAAATTGATTTTAATAACTCTAAAATAATTTTCATAACTTTAATACATTTATATTTTAATAATATTACATTAAAATCTTTATATTAAAATTATTCTTTAAATTATTCTAACTAAAAAATAAATTAATATAATAACACACGTGAATCACAAATTTTGATGTTGTTGAATAAATTTAGTTATGTTATTAGAAAAAGTCAAACATAGTGGCCGAAATAACATATGAATCACAAATTTTGATATTGAAAGCTAAACTTTCCCTTAAAAGGAATTCAGTTTTAAGATTGGTCAAATAGTTAACCTTAAATAGAAGGTAACGTTAATTAATCAATAGTATCCAATTTATGTTGTATATGTAACATATTGTATAACCATAAAATTAGTTCATACTATGAAATTATAACATTAATTCCTTATGGTTAATTTTTTTAAGTCCCATTCAGTGTTTATTAAGCCGTGGTGTTGTGAGTGTCTATTTTTAGAACAATAATACATCAATACATATTTTTTTACAATATTTTAACATTTTGACACAGTATATGTATTACTCTTTTATTGAATTTAGAATATATCAGTATAATAATAAATAAATAATAAATTAGTAAAAAAAATATACATGTAATGTACTATATCAAAATGTTCTAAAAAAAATCTGTATCAAAATTTTTTATTGGGTTAAATATGTTTTTGATCCCTTAACTTTTAGTGAAATTTGGAATTAGTCCCTTTGGCTTAATTTAATCCCAAACTTTAAAAATGTGTGAATTTAGTCCTTTTAAATAAATTTTGTTAAGTTTATTTGATGTTTCAAGTGTGTTTCATGATAACATTTGAGTTGTTTATACCATTTGACACATTTGAGAAATGTGTTTGAAACATCAAATAAAATTAACAGAATTTGGTTAAAAGGACTAAATTCACACATTTGTAAAGTTTGGAGACTAAATTAGTCCAAACTTTTGTGGTGGGACTAATTCCAATTTTCACTAAAAATTAAGGGATAAAAACATATTTAACCCTTTTTTGTTTCTATTTTAATATTAAATGTTGTTTCATGATCAAGAGTACACTACATGTGTTTAACGCGACTACAAATGTGTTACACGAGGCCCTGTTCACGTTGGATGTTCTCTTACAACTGTTTCACTATATTTTCTATCTCAGTAAATAAATTAAAAAAAAGGTATTTGATGCCGGAAATTTTCTTATCCTCATTTAATACTATTTCTCACTATCTTTTTCTTTAAAAAATGTAAAAGTTAAATTTTCACTAAAATCATTTTATTTTTACAAAAGTTTTCAAATGATAACGAAACGGTGCCAATAACTTTCTTCAAATAAAAATGAGGTCGCATTATCTTACATAATCTAAATTTAAATTATCAAATATGTGTAAAAGATGGGTTACGTAGTAAGTAGGGTAAAATATATAAGTCTAAATGAAAATTAAATGAGTACTGTTGATATATATATATATATCAAGATCTGATAAAACAATATTAATTTAGTTCAGCAAAATATTTAGTAAAGTAGCATTTGTATAACTTTTTTCTGATTGGTTACAATTAAGTAATACACGATATTTTGATAATATTTTAATATTATTTATGAATTATTACGTTGATCTTAAATTATTATTTATAATTAATTATAATAATTAAAAATAACAAAAAAAAACACGTGGTGTTAAAATGTTATAAAAAAGAAGATATGATGTGAAAGTATGATTATACACAAAATTATTAACAGATAATTATTCCTTTTAAGAGGAAAAACATTGATGGGTACATATATGGTCTCAAATGGTCCCCAGTTTCTTTATTGAACTTCACATCATGACTTTTGCTGTGCAAGTTCTGTCACGAAAGAACCAACCATTGTGATACACATAAACAAACCGACACATTACCAGCACATTATTACAAAATCCACGAGTGATCACAATCTTGAAGCAGAAGCCAATGATGAATTTTCTGAATGGAACCATCTCCCCGTGGTTCATCATTCCCATGCTAGCTTTCTTCATCTCACTAGCCTTTCCCACCATATTCAATCTTCTATCCAAACTCAACTCAAAATCAGCAAAAAACTTACCACCATCTCCACCGAAGCTTCCAGTAATAGGAAATCTCCACCAACTTGGCAACCTCACTCACCACACTCTCCAATCCTTTGCCCAAACCTATGGCCCTTTGATGGTGCTCCACTTTGGGAAGGTGCCAGTTCTTGTGGTCTCAAACGCCGAAGCAGCACGTGAGATTCTGAAAAACCAAGACCACGTTTTCTGTAACAGACCACATCGTAAGATGTTTGATATCTTCTGGTATGGTTCGAGAGATGTGGCATCTGCTCCATATGGGCACTACTGGAGGCAGGTGAAGAGTATCTGTGTGTTGCATCTGCTGAGTGGGAAAAAAGTTCAGCGCTTTCGTAGAGTGAGGGAAGAGGAAGCTATGATAATGGTAGAGAAAGTTATGGAGAGCTGTGGTTCTCTGAAGGCAGTGAACTTAACTGATTTGTTCTCTGATGTGACGAATGATATAGTGTGTAGGAGTGTTATAGGAAGAAGATATGAAGGGAGTGTTCTTAGGGGGCCAATGAGCATGTTGGAAGAGTTTTTGGGGGCTTCTGTTATAGGGGATTATATACCTTGGCTTGATTGGGTTGGAAGAGTTAATGGAATGTATGGTAGGGCAAAGAGTGTGGCTAAACAGCTTGATGAATTTTTGGATGAGGTTGTTGATGAACATGTTCGTATGAGAAATCATGATGGTGATGTTGTTAATGGTGGTGATATGCAGAATGATTTTGTCGATATCTTGCTGGAGATTCAGAAAACAAGCTCCACAACAGATTTCCAGGTTGATAGGACTGTCATGAAGGCTTTGATCATGGTAAGAGTATCTATCTATCATGCTTTGTGTTTTAGTTTTATGTATTATATACGAAAAAGATTATTATTATAACTATACTCCTTATTACACATTTTTCTCACTAATTTGAAGAGATGATGAATGATAGAGGATACAAAAGAGTGTGGTATGATTAATTTGAATAGATTAATTGTAGTGTTAAATTATACAAAAGTTTTTCTATTAAAATTTCTTTTAAAATTGGATACTTGAAATTTATAAATATTGGACTTTAGTCACTCAAAAAAATATTTATTTATATTTCATTTTATAATTTTAAATTATCTCTAAAATATTTTTATTTTGTTTTCTAAACTTTATTTTTTGTCACAATAAAATTGATATATTTTTTATTATATGGTGATTATCGTGTTAGTGGAAAAAAAAACATCAAAGAAATCCTTCAACATATCATATACATATATAATAGATCTAATACGAATAAACAGCAAAGCCTTAAATATTTTTTTAATTTATAGATATCTAATTTGAAGTAAAAAAGAGTTAGATATTAAAAAATAAAAGTTGGTCATATATAAGATATTTATAAGTTATTTAAATTTTTTATATTTTATTTTTATTTCAACTTTACAATAAATATGAATAATTGTAAGATTAGATGGATACTCAACCAGAAAACAATACAAATCAATTAATGATACTTTTGAATTTTAAAATTAACTGCAAAATAAAAATATAGTACCCAAAAATAGGAATCCTTTCTTACCAAAATTACATTTTTTTTATTTTTTGTTTTGGACTTCATACCTACTACATTATCTGGTCGAGTTTCATCCACAAAACTAAAGAACTGTACTGTGCTATCTGTTATGAAAAGCTTGTCCAACAAAAGTTGCATTGATCAATGAGGATAAGAGTTGGACTCAATGAGTAGGATAGAGACTAAGTCGCAAAATAAATTTTTTATATTTATTTGAAAATAGTGATATTTTTACAACATTTTTTTATAACATTTTAATATATATCATCTACATATAATTATGTGATTGGTTCAAAATTATTCTTCAATCAATAATAATTATCATAAACACTAATATGAACTAATTACATAATGTCACATAGATAATGTTAAAATGTTGTATAAAAATGTTGTCAAAGTATTATTCTCCTTTATTTGATTTTAATTTTTTATATATTTTAAAATACAAAATTCATTCTTTATCTTTAAAATGTATATGAAAGTGTAAATTAATTCACCTGATCATTGTTCCTTACACAAAATCATATAGCTTGAAAACTCAGTTGGCACAAATATACATAAAAAATTACAGGGGATTAATTTATTACAAACAAAATTAGAACATAAAAAGGAAGTGATTTATACAGCAAGTATTTGTTTGTATTATCAATTTAAGAAAGTATTTATTTTTATATATTATTAATTGTAATAATACATTAAGATATTCAATACTATTTTCTATTTGAGACAAATATACATAAAAAATTATAAGAACTGATTTATTACAAACAGAAATAGAACCTGAAAGGCAGTGATTTATACTAACATGGAATAAGTTTGTAAAAAGAATACAGAATAGTTTCTTGTAGTACATAATCAGATTTTCAGGTTCCAAAATAACCATTAATTATGAATCATATATTGATGTTTGATTGTTTGATTTCAGGATATGTTTGGTGCAGGAACTGATACCACCCTTGCAGTGTTAGAATGGGCTATGACAGAGCTGTTGAGACACCCAAATGCGATGCAGAAACTACAAGATGAGGTGAGAAGTGTGGCTAGGGCAAAGACTCATGTAACTGAGGAGGATTTGAATGAGATGCCATACTTGAAAGCAGTGATTAAAGAGATTCTGAGATTGCATCCACCATCTCCTATACTGATTCCAAGGGAATCCATGCAAGACACCAAAGTGATGGGTTATGATATTGCAGTTGGCACACAGGTACTGGTCAATGCTTGGGCAATTTCCACAGACCCTTCCTATTGGGATCAACCTCTTCAGTTTCAACCAGAGAGATTCTTGAAGAGTTCGATAGATATCAAAGGGCATGATTTCGAATTGATTCCATTTGGAGCAGGAAGAAGGGGTTGTCCAGGAATAGCTTTTGCCATGGTTGTGAATGAGTTGGTTCTTGCAAACACTGTGCAGCAGTTTGATTGGACTGTGCCTGCTGGAGTGGTGGGGGACCAGACATTTTGCTTGTCTGAAACAACTGGATTGACTGTTCATAGAAAACTACCTCTTCTGGCACTTGCATCTCCTCATCTGAAGTCTTCCAAATAACATTGCAAGCATAAACAAAATAAGAGGCTGTCTTATCAGTAATTCTGCATTATCAGAATAAACAAAAAATGTTAAAGAATAAAATCATTGATGTTTATCATTTATCCATGCTTGTACTCCAAAAAAATATGGTGACTTTAGTTTTATTTCCTTGATACTTGGGATTGTTCAGAGGTTTGAAAGAACTAAATAACCTAATAGACAAGAAAGCAACTCAAGCTATGAGTAATTATACATGGATGTTGCATTCACAATAAAGGAACTGAAACGATGGTAAAAATATATACTTGAATTGTCTCACCTTAGTCGTATGGAAACAATTGACTTTGAGACTGTTTTGTAACACAAATAAATTGACTACCAATCTATTTAGCGATTTATAATGAATTAGTTTAACTAATACAAAAATGTTTGATATTTAAAATAATTTTTAAGTATTTTTTAGGTTATAAACTACTTAGTAATTTGTTATTGTTTACTTAATTTTCTTTATAATAATATTTTTTGTATTTAAATATATTTCTTTATTATTTTTAATTAATTTCTCCTCATTTATTCTTACTTATTACTTATTTTAGTTTTATAAAGATAACTAATTATTGTATCATTTTTTTAATATTTTGTTATTATTCTTTTTAATTATGTATGTAGTTCAAATTTAAAAAAATATTTAACATTATAAATTTGATTACATGATATTATACTAAAATTACACACAATGAAAACTGTAAAAAAATTAATCACTACAAGAAACACAATAGAGTCGCACTTAAAACCACCCAGAAGAGAAAAAGGACGCTCATGGAAGCAAAATAAGGACGGTACCATCCACCTAAAAGAAACTCTTTTATTTATGTAGTTTTATTTTTGCGCACGAAATAATATGACAGAATCGTCACTTTTAATTTAATATTTAAATATACAAAAAAATTTAATTAATTTTTATAATATAATTTCTTGCTAGCAACAGTCGTGCCCTCTATATATTTAGTTTTTAAAAGATTTAATACATCATTTTGATCCCTAGTTTTGGGGTTTGGTTCAAACTGATCCTACCTTTTGAAAAAGTTCAGTAAAGCTCCATATTTCGTTTAAAAATGTTTAATACTGTCTTTTTCGCTGACGCTGTTAAAAACCTAATAGTGCAGATGCCACCGTGGCTAAACCTGAGTAAGCTGTTATGTTTGATGATTACGTGACAATGTGAAATGAAGTGAACTGGTGGAAATATTTAAAGTTGAGGTTATTGTGTCTAATAAAAGGGGTGATTAGGGTTCGTGGAAGTTGTTCCCTTTTTTTAGCACAATGGTTGTGGGTAGATAGAAATGACTCCTTCCCAAGGTTGTTCTTCTTGTGCCAAAACAGGGTGGGAAAGAAATTCGCAATCTGCAAAAATGATGGTGGTTGGAGGGGAGGTGGGATAATCCCTCGTTGCAAATGGTGATTATGCTGTGAGCAAAGTGGCAAGAACTCCACATAATGCTGACAAACAATTTTAGGGATGTCCTCATTACAAGGTTTTTTGAATACCTTTGTCACTTTATTTGGAATTTATTTGTTCATAGATTGATGAGTTAAAACCAATTTTGGTGGCTTATTTGGTGCATTGTTAATCCCTCGGAAAGTGTAACCGAATCGTATCAAGTAATAAAACTGGTAAGACCAAGTATCGTTCTCCCAAAGGACTCACGACCTAGACAGTTATGTGATTAGTTGAATATCTAAGACTTGTGAACAAAATATTGTAGGTTTAAATGCAAAATACTAAAAAATAAATATGAATGCATGAATTGATCAATGAGCAAGAAAAAACAAAACACGTGGTATGAAATATATGAATGAATATGTTGTTGGGGTTTATCAATTTCATCCTATCCACTCTCGTGTATTCTAGAATTCATCTTTCTTCATTAATTGTTAATGTCACTTTCTAAATTACCTTAAACCCGATGTCTCGGCGAAGAAAGCCTGATCATAATCATTAGTTTACAGTGTCTTGTCTCCCTAGCAATTACTCATGCATTATAAAGCACAGAAGCTTAAAGGCAACCAACTATCATACTCATATGTCTAGGTTTATACTACTATTGAGAGATATTCCCCAGATCTAGATTTTCCCGTATGTGTCCATATCGACAAAATCAATAATCATGACATCGAATGAGTTAAACAATGCAAGCTTAGAGCAAAGAGGAAAAACCCTAACAATTAATGAAAGAAAGCATGTATCTTTAAAAGATCTTGAAGAACAAATTCAATACATGAGAGCTTTAAAGGATTACATTGACTCTCCAATGTTAATAAAAGTTTAGTTCACCATATTCATGGTGAAACTAGATGAAATACAATGAAGGAGTGAAAGATAAAACCCTAGAAAGGTGAGAAAGAAGTTGTAGCATCCAAATCCTCCTCCAAGGGGTGAAAGAATGTCTTTCTGTTTCGTTCCAGCCAAAGATGCTTGACCTAGGTTAACTAAAACCTTATATAGTATTCTAAAGATTACGGAAAAGTAAGCCCAAACCCATAAGAATGTCGCTCAGCGGTAAATGCCGCTCGGCGGTAAGTGCCGCTCAGCGGTAAGTGTGTGACTTCTATTCTGCCCCTCAACTGCAGTTTTGCCCCTTAGCGGTGTTTGCGGGTCTTCAAAGTGTTGCTCAGCGGTAAATGGTGCTGAGCGGTACTTGCGGCTTCTCCCTTTTATGCACTTTTTCTTCCTTTTCTAAGTCCAACTCCTAGCTCCTTCACTTCTTTCACTCAATTCATCTTAAAACCTACAAAAGCGAGGAAATCAAGCATAAAACCTGTCCAACTCTCTTATTTCCAAAACTTCAACAAAAACATGATTCCAAGCTAGTTTCTAAGTCATAAAGGTTGTCTTTAAGGTCAAATTTAAGTCTAAAAATAATAGTTTTTCAACTGTTATCATGCATAACAGGGTGGATCTTCAAGAGGGATGTACTGTAACTTTTTCAAGTGGTGTAATGAAGAAAATAATGACAAAAGAGATGGTGAAATTGTCAAACAAAGGAGGGGGATATGTAAGCTGGAAATTTTAGTTCGAAAGTTGCAGAAAAGGATAAAATTGTTACTTGGAGTTATGTGTGTTGTTATTGCGCTGAACACTGTGACAATGTTTAGGTTGAAGTGTAGGTGAATGTTTATGTTGTTTATGTTCATATAATGTGAAGGTGAAGGTCAATGTAATGTGAAGGTGTTCATGTGAAATGTTAAATTTAGTATCGCTTTCATTTTAAAATGTCCAATATGGTCCTCTTTTGAATTTAAAACTATTACTTTTGGTCCCAAATGAATATGAACACATGTAACATCTCGGCCATAATATACTAACACAAGTGTTTGTCATGACTACATAATTAAAGTGCACCTAGAAAGTACATAATAAAAGTTGATCACATGACAATCAAAATAAATAATAAAACTTGATCACATCAGTTGTGAATATGCATAAGTAAATTAGTTCATCAAAATACAATTGCATCAACATACTACATAGTTCAGGAGTTTTTTATAAGTTCAAAATACATCCAAAGTTGATCTAAACTTTTCTTCTGAAATCTAACTTCTTCCTCAAGATTGGTGGTGTTGAATGTGGAATGGACTCCTGAGTAGGTTGTGGTGGTCGCGAGGATTCGGGAAAAGTTTGCTGTTAGGTTAAGGGACATGTTGGTTGTGTGATGTCCGGATGTAAGGGGCAGTTCTTTTTGTTGTGTCCCACTTGACGACAGATGGTATATTTTTTTCTATGGCCACCAACACTCATTTGGGTGGCATTCTTTGTTAACTCTCACGCCTCCAACTTTCTTTTTTTCTTTGGTCTCCCAGGAAACTTTTGAATAATTGGTGGCAGGACATCAACATAGCTTGTTCTTTCCCATAGCAACTGCCTATTGACAGGATAAATAATAGAGGCATAAACCTCTTCATATGTGGATCTTGTGAACCAAGAAGGTATGAAATTTTATGGGTCTTAAAGTCATCCTTATCTGTAAATAAAGTCTCAACTTCCCATTTGTAATCTGCCATTGACTTTTGTTTCTCATATGTAGGAAAAGAACCGGGCTCTGGTCTATCTTCAGTGTCCTCCTCACTACCACTATTTTGTGGAGTTAATAGGACATCAGAATGTCATTCATCATCTGACAACCCCCTAGCACTGGGTTCAGCCCTATACTATAATTTTTTAATACTATAATTTCAATTCATATAAATATCTTTATATCTTAGTTTTGTCACGTTCTCTAGTATAATTTTTTCCTTTTCAAATTTGGTCGTCTTGCTAAGTAATTATATAAAATATTATGCATTCTGAATAATATTAGTGTGATTTCACAAAAAGTAGCTAAAAAATTTTACTCTTTTGCTATGGAATGTGTAGTTGGATGATCTGTCACTAACTAAAACTTTGGTTTTTTTGAAAGTTGTTGTATGATTGTTTGACTATAGATTTGGAAGTTCAAAAAAGAGTAGTTTTATGCTTTATATGTTCTTTGTGGGGAAATAATTTGGAATTTTTCTCATTTATTATTTCATTGATTGATTGTTATGCTATTGTGGAATAGTTGAAAGAAGCTTTTTAGGATTTGGAGTTTTCTTATTTGAATTTGGTTGTTTAGTTTTTAAAGTTTTTAGTCATTTGTTTAAAGTGGTTAAAGTGGTTGTCATTATTGCTATTATCTAGATGCTTTGGAGGATGAGAAACAATAGTATATTTTAGGATCCAATTGTTTATCTTTATGCTACTTCTTAAATTAAGAAGTTAGTGCACTAGGATTAAATATAAGAAACATATGAGGAATAATATCTCTCATTTTTTTTGTGTTGGAATTTTTCAATATTCAAAGTAGAGAAGATAAGGTGGCTTCATTTTTAGACATAATATATCAATTTCTATCTACTAATTGGTTCAAGGTAAATATTGAGGGTGCATTTAAGGGTTGTCCTTATTTGACTTTATGTGGTATTTTTGGAGAAGTCGGTGTGAATATATGTGGATATTTGTTCAATTTTTATAACGTTGCAAATTTTTATTTATGTTGACTCTA